CCCCCACTGTGGGCTCTCTTCACTATAAGGAGAGAAGGCAACTTAAGACCTAGGTAGTTACTTGACTGATCAACAAGAAAATATAGATGTCGCAGGTCCTTATTGGTGAGGAGCTTTTTTGTATGACTGTTCCTCAGGCACAAGTTTTTACTAATTTGTCAGTGCTGGAAATTCCTGGCTTTAATTTTTGGAATTTAAAAATGAAAGCTGATCGTCTACTAACCTCGCATTAAATTCTAGTTACTGTAGTTGTCAGAGGTACAGCTAGGACTGATCTCTGTCTTGGTGTACCTCCAACAGATATTGGTATTTTTTGTATTTAGTTCTTTTCCAGGGTATACGTACACCACAAATAACCTGTGGCTGGATGGTATGATTTGGTTTGGGCTGGGGGACTATTTCATTGCAGTGTAGTTCAAGCCCAAGCCAACTGGAATGAGCTTGCTGCAGTGTAGATGTACTATTAGCACCCTGAGCTATATTACTCTTTGGCTCAACTATGCTTATCCTGGCAGGCCTTGGTGAATTTAGCATCTACCATTCTCCTTGGGAATCTGATCATTGGTAAACACACAGCCTTTTAAGAATGAAACACAATCGATGGTTTTAAAAACCTGTATTATGCCTAAATTACTTTAAGGCTCGTAGTCTCCTGACAATCCTTTTCTTCCCAAGTCATTTCTGTCTGGCCCAAAGTCACGGAATCAGGCCTGGAAGAGACCTGAGGAGGTCATTGAGTCCAGCCCCCTGCCTAAAGCAGGACCAGCCCTAACTCATCCTAGCCAGGACTTTAAGCTGGCACTTAAAAACCTGTAGGCTACATCTACTCTGCAATGCTATTTTGGGATATCAAGAGTATTCTGAAAAAGCTATCCCGTATCTTCACAGCAAGTCTGTAATTTCAAATAATAATGGGCTCACTGTTCTGACATCCCTTTAAACATTTTTTGAGGAGTAAGGGACATTTTGGAGTAGCGGGTTATTTCAAAATTATGAAATAAGCTATTTTAAAATAAGATACGCAATTTGAGTAATTCAAATTGCGTATCTTATGTCTAGCTATGGTGTAGTGTAGATGCACCCCTAGGAATGGAGATTCCACCACCTCCCTAGGTAATCCATTCCAGCGTTCACTAGCCTACGTCTACACTGCACCTCTCTTGAGCAAAAGCCTATGCAAATGAAGCATGGATTAGCATATTGCTGTGCTTCATTTGCATAATTAACTAGAGGCCTCTTTTGTGCAAAATGGAGTTGTGTAGATGGCTCCTTTTTTTGAGCAAAAAACCCCTCTTGCGTGAGAGACCTTGTTCCTCATTTTTCAGGAAGAACGGCTCTTGCACAAGAGAGGTTTTTGCTCAAAAAAGGAGCCATCTACACAACTCCTTTTTGCACAAAAGCCTCTTGTGCAAAACTGGCCCCTAATTAATTATGCAAATGAAATGTGGCAATGTGCTAACCTGTACTTCATTGGCATAGGCTTTTGCAGAAGAGAGGTGCTGTGTAGATGTATCTGTAGAGAAATAATTTTTCCTAATATCCAACCTAGACTGCCCTCATTGCAACTTGAGACGACTGCTCCTTGTTCTGCCATCCGTCACTGAGAACAGCCTCTTTCCATCTTCTTTGGAACCTTCTTTCAGCTAGTTAAATGCTATCAAATCCCCCTTCACTTTTCTTTTCTGCAGGCTAAATAAGCCCAAGTCTCTCAGGCTCATAAGTTATATGCTCCAGCCTCCTAATCATTCTCGTGGCTTCCTGCTGGACCCTCTCTGATGCCTCCACATTCTTTCTGTAGTGGGGGGCCCAGAACTGGATGCAATACTCTAGCTGTGGCCTCACGAGTGCTGAATAAAGAGGAATAATCATGTCTCTAGATCTGCTGGAAATGCTCCTCCTAGTGTACCCCAGTATGCCATTAGCCTTGGCTACCAGGGCACACTGTTGACTCATATCTAATGTGTCATCCACTGTAATTCCTAGGTCCTTTTCTGCTGAACTGCTGCTTAGGCAGTTGGTCCCCAGCGTGTAACTGCTTGGGATTCTTCTATCCCAAGTGCAGGACTTTGCACTTGTCTTTGTTGAACCTCATCAGATAACTTTTGGCTCAATCCTCCAATTTGTCTAGGTCGCTCTGGACCCTGAGGCAGTCTACACTGCACCTGTTTAGTGCAAGAAATATGCAAATGAGGCAAAGCATGGAGTATTGCTACATCTTATTTGCATAATTAATGAGGCTCCGTTTTTGCACAAAACCCCCCTCTTGCGCAAGAGCCATTCTTCCTGAAAAAAAATGCAGAAGAACTCATTTGCATATTTTTTGCACAAAATGGGGGCAGTGTAGACACAGCCTAACCCTACCCTCCCATATATCTACCTGTCTCCATAGTTTTGTGTCATCCACAAACTTGCTGAAGATGCAATCCATCCCCTCATCCAGGTCATTAATAAAGATGTTGAACAAAACCGGCCTTAGAACCACTGCTTGGGGCATCCTGCTTGAAACCAACTACCAAGCAGACATCGTGAAGTTGATCACTACCTGTTGAGCCCGACAGTCTAGCCAACATTCTCTCCCCCTTATAGTCCATTTATCCAATTCATACTTCCTTAACTTGCTGGCAAGAATCATATGGGAGACAGTATCAAAAGTTTTGCTAAAGTCAAAATATATCACATCCACCGAGTTCCCCATGTCCACTGAGCCAGTTACCGCATCATAGAAGGCAATCCGGTTGGTCACACATTACTCTACCTTGGTTAAACCATGTTGACTATTCAACTATTCCTGATCACTTTCCTCTCTTCCAAGTACTTCCAAAATGGATTCCTTGAGGATCCCCTCCATGATTTTTCCTGAGACTGAAGTGAGGCTGCGCGGTTTGTAGTTCCTTGGATAGTCCTATATCTGTTTCTTGCACTTTTGGGCCCTGCTACCTGAAGTCTGGTGACCTCCACTGCTTCTTGCAGAGTGGAACTTCAAAGAAAACAACTCTTTTGTTGCCCTTTAAATATTGTGTGACAATCAGAAGCCTTTGTGATTCCTGCCTAGGAATAGTCTTCCACTTTCTAAATCTTATCTTTGTTAAAAAAGATCTTCACTTAAAAGAATAATAGTATTAAATTATTACAAAGGTGCTTTAGGTGCTTCACAGTAGTCATGACCAACACTGCTCTTTTGGAAGAATGTTTCCATAAATACGTGTGATCTCTTTCTACAGTTCAGTGTGCAGTACATCTGAGGAAGCATCAGAGATAATTTAATTAAGGAAACTGAGGTACAGGCAGTCCCCGAGTTACGCGGATCCAACTTATGTCGGATCCGCAGTTACGAATGGGGTTTGCTCTGCGTCTCCCTGGTCTGCTGGATACCAGCAGACCAGGGAGACGGGGAGCAAAGCCACGGAGGACCCGGGCGGCGGGACCGCGGTGCGTCTCGGTCCGCCGCCCGCGTCTTCTGGGTCTGCTGGGGGGGGGGGGGACAGGCA